TCTCTCTCTCTCTCTCTCGCTTTTGCTCTCTCTCTCTCTCTCTCTCTCTCTCTCTCTCTCTCTCTCTCTCTCTCTCTCTCTCTCTCTCTCTCTCTCTCTCTCTTCCACTCTGTCCTCCTCTATTATTCTTATACACGAAATTTCATGACCATACACCCCTATATGTAAACCCCCCCCTTACCCCCAGTAGGCCTTTTCCACAAAATAATAATGTAAGCATTATACAGTATTTATACATACATCACAAAATATAAGCTCTGGTACATTCATTTCTCAGTATAACATTTATACCAAGATTGAACCCATTCCTCGAAACCGCCTCTCAAATAGCCAAAATAGTAGGGAAAGGGCGTAAAACAAAAACTCATAATTAATTATTTAAGAAACCAAACCAAACCAAACTCCTACCTGAGCATCGTCCACATATAGGTGTTTGAGAACATGGCAGTGTTTCTCTTCGTCCGACCCTGTGACCAAGGCTATGAGGACGAAAGAGGCGAAAAATATGCAAAATGACGTCATCCGTTCAGTCATAGTTGCTGGTTGTGTTCTACTTTGAGGTTCGAACACTGTTTTGCTTTTTGATCATTCTGACCTGGCGGCCTCCTCTTTTCTCAGTTCTTGTCTGGAAAACAAACAAAACAAATTTAATTAAATGAAAGATGAATTTTGATTTATTTTCTTAAATATTTGTTTGACTTAAAAACAAAACAGCACAAAATCCCTTAAAACCAAAAACGTACCAGATGACAATGTAGAGTAAGCTTTAGGTTAACGGTTGTTAAGTTATACTAGTACTAGTGAGAGGAGAACAACCAATTCATTCATTCACGTTTTAAGGTCTAACTTAACCCCCCCCCCCCCTTTAAAAAAAAACCCTGATGATGCTTCTCACTCAACGTCACTTGAAAACTTGTCAAAAACAATATTTCGTTATTATTTAATTTAGTTAGAGTAACACAAAGCACGTCGACACAATAACGGTCAATTATAAGTACTGGGGTAGATTAAGATAGTAAAAAAGAGTGAATTAAAAGAAATAGCACCTAATAGTGGAGCCCTCTAACTACCCGCAAGTATCAAAGTGCCATAAACGTTTGTAAGGTATTATATAGAACGACACTTTAAACGTTTGTGGTGTGTTGCCCATATACAACAATACCAAACCATATATTATTGTTTTGTGCATAGCAATATTGTAAACGTTAATAATGCATCGTCAATAATATAATATTGTCAGTAATGTTCTACTGCATACAGTTATATCGGTAACATGTATTATGTAGTGTATACAGTGATGCTAGCAATTTTTTTAAATAATGTATTGTATAACCGTACAAAAGAAATAGAAAAAGAGAAGCACGATTTTATTAATAGCTTTCTGGAACGTCAAGAAATCTATTATGGGAGAGGCGAGCAGACCATGTAATAAGAGTGGATGTCAACGAGACGATATCCAAGGACCACAACAAACCAAAACCACGCCCAACACTACCCTGACATAACAGATAGCTTCTCTTGAGACAGCGTTTTTACAGGTTTGTTTTAGTAAGAGTTTCACCGTACTCAAAACACAAATAGGGCATATAAGTGCCGAAGAGTAAAGGTTTACTAGATCGTTTAGGTTTAGCTTTAAATTTGAATTTTACTGTATTTTTAAAACAAATAAGTCACAAAAGTACCAAAGATTAGAGGTGTTACTAAAGAGTAACATACAAAGAAAAGATGGAGCACAAATAAGGACGATATGTGTTTTTTTCTGTAAAGACGGTGCAAACCTCACCAGAGCATCCAACCAACCAACCATGTATCTTGTGGCAGTGTCATTGTTTTTACACTGATCGGTTTTATAAGCGTTTTACACCCCCATGGACACCATTTAGATCATTTAAGGAGGCAGCTTGTTTAGGTTCTGCCTGTCAGAGTCAACTTTAGGCAAAGTAGGGTACACCATTTCAGCATTCGGACTACTGATATACATTATAATAATTGTATAACTTCCGACGTGGTGAGAGAATTCACGCCTTCTACGTACAATGGTGAAGAGCTTAACCCCCACACCACAGACAGACGCCGGTCAAAGCTAACGAAGACATCACGGTCACATTGTACTTTCCGAAGGAACACGTCAAGAGAGAAGAAACTCTGATCAGCAGTGGAAGGACAAGACCACACCTGGGCCATCTGTTGGAGGGACAAACGGTGACAGAAGGAAGGGAACCAAGGAGGGACTGTGAGAACGAAAAGAGAAATATAGAGAGAAAGAAAACAAGAGAGAAAGAAGAGAAAGAAAACAGAGGAAGTAAAGAGAAGACAAACAGGGAGATACTGAGATAAGGGTAAAGGAGACATAGGGAGAATGAAAATAAAGAGAGACAGAGAGGAGGAAAACAGGGCGACAGAGAGAAGGAAAACGGAGGGACAAGAGATGGCAAGAAGAAAGAAACCTCTTTGTAAACTCCACACTCCAGTTTACCTATTCAACTTAATTCACTTCTTGTACACAATTGTCTTTCGTGTATCCCTTTTGCAGTTACCAAAAAAAAATCCACAAGAATAAACAAACAAAATCATAATTACGTAACTATAGCAACTGCTCTGTAACCACCACAAGCGAGCACAGCTTAGCACCAGCTGACCTACTTCAGCAAGATAAAAAAAAAAACCAGAGGCTCGAAATGGATAACTTACAGAGACGACAAGCTTGTATGAGACGATCTGAACTCGTAAATTTTCCTCCATCACAACACATACTCATGTGAGATCCGTCTGTAGTAAACTATGACCGGTCTCAAAGTCAAAACACCAGACAAGCACATTCTAACATGATGACGAATAGATGAGACTTTGTTGTTTTCCGACTATTTCTCAATCTCGCATACGATTTCTTAATCCAAACAATCGGAGAGAGGACTAGTTCCACACCGCATCACACCGCTCCTCACTCTTCATACACCGCACCGTACCGTACAACACCGCACCGCGCCACACACACACACACTCGCGCGCGCGCACCCCATCGTCAGAGGACATCGATGCGCGACCGACGACACACGCACACCTGGTTCAATTATTGTGACACGGTGTGAGAGGTGAGGAACGGGGTGGAGGGGAGGGGGGAGAGAGAGAGAGGTTGAGAGACACACGAGGCGAGAAAGTGAGAGAGAGAGAGAGAGAGA